CCAACTCTTCCCAACTGAAGATACTTCTAGGAGTCAACTGATTCAACCAAGCTCTGGCTGGACCTTCCAGCATTAGGGGGAGGTGCTTCATGGACACATCATCATTGTCGCCGCCAATCTGCACAGCCACTCGGTAATCCTCTAGGCAAGTGTCAGGCTTCAACTCACCGGTGAGCTTGCTTACTCCAGTCGCCAACCTGAAGTTGGGGGGAATCTCAGCAACCTTGATGGCTCTGCTAAAACACTCAGGCCCTGAGACATGCACTCTGCTACCAGTCGGACAATCTCTGTCTAGTCCTTCTCTGTGTGCTCAGTTTCTGTCAACTAGACCTTGAACAAGAATTGACCGTGCATCAAACCCGGGCTCTCTTGGGTCGACAGGGACCCTTCGCTCATCGCTATATGGGCGTCTGTCATCATACCGCCGGGGCACGTATGATCCGCCTCTTGGAGAAGGCGTAGGCACTCGACGACGGTCATCTCGACCGAGCCGATGATCATACTGCTCATGGTTCCGACCCACATATTATTCCTGGCGGTGCCCACGACCCTCATGCCGCAGAGGCGATCTTGGGTTGTGAGCCGACTATACTGTGTCCGCCACCACAGACCTGTTGTGGATCCTGTTGCGCGACCTAGGAACGGTTGTGTTTTTCTCTCCTGCTGCCCAGAGCAGTGCTCGGATCTGCATCAAACCTCTTTCAGCTTCTGATTGGGATGGATGGATCGACTCTGCTATATGGGCTGCAGCTGTAAGATTCTGGATCAGAGTGTAGTGTACCTGAGGTTCAGGCAGGAACAATTGTCGTTGCCGTCGACTGGATTCAGGGATTTGTCACCGAGCGCGCTCGTCAAGTGAATGTTGAAGGTTCTCCAGACATGCACGCTCGGCCAAAGTGGCCAGGCACGCGGCCTCCAAGGCCCGAGCCTCGGAGGTCTCTTCGATGATGGGAGTGTGGAGTGCCTCCATGTTGCGACGGTGCAGCTCATCCCTCTGCTGCGACGTGAGGGCTTCGGGAAGATATTCCTCGTGACCATGCACCGAGCCCCCATCGCCATCGCCGCCGCCACCGCGACGGAAACCAAGAGGGCTGCGCGGCGTGTTGACCATCAGGACTTCTGCCGCAGGGTCACTGTTGTCCCACTCGGGCAGAGTCTTGGCGGAACTAGTCGACATGTCGAATAGTCTGTAGAGAAATTCGTCGGGCTTGATTGCCGCGACTTGAGGGGTGGCCAACTGACCGGCCACCGCATGCTTCACCCACCACTGAAGCCGCGGTCGATTAGACCGCATGTGACGGCGAGCGGCGGGGAGTGAAGATGTTGTGGGAGCTGATCGATACTGGGTCGACGGCTGTCGTAGGAGGACACCACAAGCACTCACGCGGAAAATGCGCCGCCCCATGGACGGGAAGGGCCTCGACGTTGAGGGGGGCCTCCTGGAGCCAGGCGGAGTCATCGGCGATGAAAACGAGCACGCTGAGACGGATCTCGCGGCCCAAAGCTAGACCACCGTCGGAAACCATGATGACGGGGATTGGGAAAATTGCAACCTCACCAGAAGTCGCTAAGACACCTGCCCCACGGTGGGCGCCAACTGTTGTGGGAGTAAGTCTGACAATAATATAGGGGGTATGTAAGAGGAGGCAAGAACTTAGCTACGGCGAGATTGTGCACGCAAGGTTTACGAGTTCAGGTCCTTCTCGGAGGAAGTAACAGCCCTACGTCTCGGTGCCTGGAGGCTGGTCGACTGGACTATGCGTGAGAGTCACAGGGGGTGTGAACCCTTGTGCCAGAGGAAGGGGGTGGCTTATATAGAGTGCGCTAGGACCCCAGCCATCCCACGTTACACATGGTTCAATGTACATTAAGACTGGACGTTACTGGTAACGTCAGCTATAAAGAGCTATAAATGGTCTTTAAGACTATAGATTGAATGCCTGATCGTTGCCATCCTGAGTGACTTTAGGCCTCCTGTATTCCGAGTGATTTCTTGTATGGCCGAGTGACTTCATTTTGGGTCGAATGGAATTGGGGTTACCGAGTGAGGTTTGAGGTCGAGTGGATTGCATCCCTTGGTGATCTCAGTCGGTTTCTTCTGTTATATCTTGAATGTCCTTGACTCTAGGGCAGTGAATTTGGGTAAGGCATCCAGGTTAGGCCTATGATCCTACCCTAGGTACATGTCATCGTCAGCCACGACAGCTTCCGACGAGTGCTTCAGAGCGGCCAGTAGCAGGCCGCCAACCACCCCCGCTGCATCGAGGTGATCATCGCGGCCTCTTTGCCACCACGACCGCAAGGTGTTTGACACTTTGCCCATAAAGGTATGGACAGTGGAGATGAATTTTTCTTCCACCACTTCATTTATTCATCGGATGATTCGTCGTCGGATGGTGAAGATCTTGTGGTGGCTGCACTGGTCGTTCACGACCACATTGAACGACAGTTTCCTCGGTACAGGGGGTCACTCCCTGGCCGTGCTCCCAACCTGAACTGCAATAGGGAGAGAGGCCACCCCCTGCTCTATGCCGATTACTTTGCGAACACCCCGCTCTTCAAGCCGGATAAATTCTGTCGCCGTTTTCGTATGGCAAGGCATGTGTTCAATCGTATCCGAGAGGGAGTGGTTGCTCATGACCCATACTTCGAGTGCAAGACGGATGCCCTTGGCAAGCTTGGATTCTCCTCTTACCAGAAATGCACCGCGACCATCCGCATGCTTGCATATGGAATTTCAGGTGATCTGGTGGATGAGTATGTGCGTATGAGTGAGTCCACATGTCTGTTGTCACTGTACAAGTTCTGCAAGGCCGTGGTGGCAGTGTTTGTCCCTGAGTACTTGAGGCAGCCAACTGCCGCTAATACAGAGAGATTGTTGTCGACCAACGCAGCTAGAGGCTTTCCAGGCATGCTTGGCAGTATCGATTGTATGCATTAGGAGTGGAAGAACTGTCTATTTGCTTGGCACGACCAGTACAGGGGGCATGTCAAAGCGTGCACTGTCATATTAGAAGCGGTGGCTTCGCAGGATCTTTGGATATGACATTCTTTCTTCGTTACGGCAGGTTCTCACAATGATATCAACGTGTTGCAGCGTTCTCCAGTCTTCGCAAGGCTTGCAGAAGGCCACTCCCCATCTGTCAACTTTGAGATCAACGGCCACCAATACAACAATGGATACTATCTAGTTGATGGTATATATCCTCAGTGGTCAACGTTTATGAAGACATCGAACCCCCAAGGTGAGAAGTGAAAGAGATTTGCCCAAATGCAAGAGAGTACTAGAAAGGATGTGGAACGTGCTTTTGGTGTGCTTCAATCCCGATGGGGTATCGTTCGAAACCCTGCACTGACATGGGATGAAGGGAAGTTTTGGGAGGTGATGACTGCTTGTGTGATCATGCACAATATGATCGTTGAGGACGAGTGTGATGACATGATCTTCGACCAAGGATTTGATTATCAAGGTGAAAATATTGAGCCCCTGCACCAAGAACCGGCCACATTTGAACAGTTTGTCCAATTTCATCATGAACTGCGTGATTGGCACACTCATTTGAATCTTCAAAATGACTTGGTTGAACACGCGTGGAGTCACATTGTCAACCAATAGATGTATTGGTTCATCATGTTCATTCAAGACAATTTCGATTTGGTTGTAAAACTATTTTATTACAGACATCCGATTGAGTTGTAAAACTATTTTTATTTTCAGACAATTAATATTTGGACGTGCAAACTTGTTTTGATATGTAAATATGGGCATTTTTGGCCGTGGCGGACATGATGGGGCCAAAGGATGCGACCGCACGCTGGACGCACGGTCGCCGCATCCCAGGACAGGACCGGACACGACCCCATTGCCCTATCCAAACGTACCGAATCTGGGCAAAGCGGACGTCCGTTTGGGGTCGTACGGTGGAGTTGATCTAATTATACGGTAAAAGCGAGTTGTTTTCGGAAAATTGTTTTTTTTTTAGAATTTCTGAAAATGGGTTCAGATGAAAACGGTTGAGCAGCTTGAGATTTTAACCGCCAAACAAGAACCCACCCAGGGGCAGAACGGGAATACCCGAGAAATGCAATGTACACAATCGTACGTAGAAATGAGAGGTAGATTGGGCGAATAATTCGCGCTCCTCCACCCGTCTACCACTACGCCTACGCCTACGCGCCGTACCACCTTCTCCTCCTCTCCTCCCCGATCTCGCCAGCCAGCCAGCGAGCGCCGAAAAAGAAAAAAAGGAAAAAAGAGTTCCCACACCACACACCCCCGCCGTCTCCTCCATCTCATCCTCCTCCTGCTCCTCGCCGTCGGCGGCTTCAGCCCCTAGGCGGACCGCCGCCGGATCCGACCGCGGAAGCTCCCCGCTTCCGCCGTCGCCGCCGCCGCCGTCAGATCCGCGGAAGCGCGCCGCGGATCCGCCGCCCCGCAACCCGCGCCGCGAGGGCCGAGCCTTTCAGCTCGGCATTGGCTTGGTCCGATCCGGAGGCCTCCTTTTTGGTGCGTGTCCTGTTTCTGTCTGGTCCCCCGGCTGTCTCCCTTTGGCACGATCTGAGATCTTTTTTTCTTGTGTTTTTTTGGATTTTTTTTTTTGCTGGAAGCGGCGTTGATTGTTTGATCCAGCTTCGAGGCATAGCTCAGAGATTAAGGAGTTTGAGTGAGGGATTTACTAGCTCCGCGACCAAAGTCTGTTCTGTTTCGTATTAGTTGTTGAGGGGGCAAGCGGTGCCATGCTTTTTGTGGGGTTTAATGAAGTTTAGTTCGTGCTAATTTAGCTGCTCTATTTTAAGTTAGTTACCTGCATTCAAGTCAAGCTCGTTGAAATGTTTAATCCAGCTTTCAGTAATATTAGCTTGTTTTATCATGCTCCAATTCTTTTTTCAGCTGTCGATCTCACAATAATCATGAGCTGCTCCAACTCTCTCTTTTCTTCAGCAGGCTGACTGAAGAAATCTGTGGTCTTGGAGGTGTCCATGGTGCAGAATCGTCAAGTATGAGATGTGTGCGGCACATGGTGTGCTGAAGTCCGGTGTGAACTTGCCCTTCTGGTAACTTGGTTGCTTACTGGGGTGATGCATGGGCTGGGACACGGCAGTTATATATGAGTACCGTTGACCCCTTGCTCCTGTCATCATCCGGAAGTGCAGACTCGCCTTCAAAGCATACGGCTCCTGCTCGGCCATCGGTGGGCTCATTGAACTGCCTCTGCCGTGCTGATTCATGCTCTTCCTCAGTGTATGAGGATTGCGATACTGCTTCTGTTAATTTTGCGGATGAAGGGGATGCCATACCAAGGCATTGTCCGGAGGAGTCTGATTTGAGCAGGGTGGCAGAGCGTTTCCAGTCTGCTGATTCGCATTTCTTCCATCGTCTCTCGGTGGAATGCTCTCAGAAGGAGAGGCAGCGGAAGATTTCTTGGGGTGGTGTAATGGAGATGCAGCGCTCTCCATCATCCCTAGAGGTCGGAGTAGTATCTTCCTCCCAGGAGAAACCAAATCGACCCCCGAGGGGCAGGAACAAGAGCTCACATTTTGAAGACCTGTTTTCATCTGAGCAAGAGCATGACCCAAGGCTAATTTACATCAATGATCCCTGCAGAACAAACGACCGATATGAATTTACAGGAAATGAGATTCGGACAAGCAAGTATACTTTGATTACTTTCCTGCCTAAGAACCTCTTCATCCAGTTCCATCGGCTGGCTTATGTATACTTCCTAGTTATTGCTGCTCTTAACCAGCTACCTCCTTTAGCTGTGTTTGGAAGGACTGCTTCATTGTTCCCGCTACTTTTTGTGTTGTTTGTGACTGCTATAAAAGATGGTTATGAAGACTGGCGTCGTCACAGATCTGACAGGAATGAAAATAACCGAGAGGCACTTGTTCTTCAACATGGTGATTTTCGGTCAAAAAAATGGAAACACATTTGTGTGGGGGAGGTTGTCAAAATTCATTCCAATGAAACAATGCCATGTGATATGGTCCTGCTGGGTACAAGTGATCCAAATGGTATAGCTTACATCCAAACAATGAATTTGGATGGCGAGTCAAACCTGAAAACAAGGTATGCTCGCCAGGAAACTGTTACCATGATAAGCCACAGCTCATATTTGGGGTTGATCAAATGTGAGCAGCCTAACAGAAATATCTATGAGTTTACAGCTACCATGGAGCTGAATAATCAGAGGATTCCGCTTGGCCAATCTAACATTGTATTGCGTGGGTGCCAGCTCAAAAACACAGAATGGATTATCGGGGTCGTCGTCTATGCTGGCCAGGAGACAAAAGCTATGTTAAACAGTACAATATCTCGTTCAAAGAGCAGCAATCTAGAGAGTTACATGAACAGGGAAACCCTTTGGTTATCAGCTTTCCTCTTGATCACATGCTCAGTTGTTGCTACAGGGATGGGTGTATGGTTATTTAAAAATACTAAAAACCTTGACGCACTACCATACTACAGGAGAAAGTACTTCACCTTTGGCAGGGAAAACAGAAAGGATTTTGAGTTCTATGGCCTTGCATTGGAGATATTTTTCTCCTTCTTGAGTTCTGTGATTATCTTTCAGATAATGATACCAATATCATTATACATCACCATGGAGCTAGTTAGAGTGGGGCAGTCATACTTCATGATTGGAGATACTCGGATGTATGACAGTAGTTCAGGTTCAAGATTTCAGTGCCGGTCATTGAATATCAATGAAGACCTAGGCCAAATACGGTATATATTTTCTGACAAAACAGGTACCTTGACTCAAAATAAGATGGAATTTCAGCAAGCGAGCATCTATGGGAGGAATTATGGGAGCTCCTTGCAGGTCACTAGTGACTCATCACATGAAATAACCATTGCAGGCAAGTTAACTACTTTTTCTCTATAAATCTATTTTGCAGCTCTTTTTTTCTGTTTTAGATCACTCTTTCATTCCTATAGTAATAATAAAAACCTAGATGATTGGTGATCGATTGGCACGTGCAACTAGACCCACCTTTCTCCAGGCTGAATTACTACCCGTTGTACTTAATTTAATTAGCTCAAAGTAGTGAAAGTTCAAGTTTCTAGTTCCGATGAACGAAAATGGAATTTTGAAACTAGTAAAGACACAAGTACAGCTGGTATTTGATCGTGTACCTATAAATGATTAAGTTTCTATCCTTCTACAGAGTCATCGAGCCAACATGACAGGAAGCCCAAGTCAGAAATCAATGTTGATGCACTACTCTTGGCACTTCTGAAACAACCATTGTTTGGGGAGGAAAGACTCGCAGCCCATGATTTTTTCCTTACTTTGGCTGCATGCAATACTGTCATTCCAGTTAGCACAGGAGGTTCTCCCGATTTGACCAATGAAGTAAGTGAGGTTGGTGCAATTGATTACCAGGGCGAATCACCTGATGAGCAGGCCTTAGTAATTGCAGCTTCTGCTTACGGATACAAGCTTGTTGAAAGAACAACTGGCCACATTGTTATAGATGTTCAGGGCGAGAGGATAAGGTAAATACTAGAACATTCTTTGTTTTATGAGAACATTTAAGCTACCTTTAATTTCTTCCCGAGTTGACCAAGAAATGCATTTTGTACCTGTTGACAATCTTCTACATGTATTTCACGGAACAATTTCATTGTCACAAACAGGTTGGATGTTCTTGGTCTGCATGAATTTGATAGTGTGAGAAAAAGAATGTCTGTTGTTGTAAGATTTCCAGACGACACTGTGAAAGTTCTTGTCAAGGGTGCTGATACTTCAATGCTTAGTATTTTGAGGACCAGGAACCATGATGGACTTTTTGATTCTTTGCACGCCAAAACTATAGAAACTACAGAAAATCATTTGTCAAGTTATTCCTCAGAGGGTCTACGAACCTTAGTAATTGGTTCGAAGTACCTGAGCAATGAAGAATTCAGTGAATGGCAGGAAAGGTACGAAGAAGCTAGCACCTCCATGACAGAGAGATCGGCAAAGCTCCGTCAGGCGGCAGCCCTTGTAGAGTGTGATTTGACTCTTCTGGGTGCAACTGGAATTGAAGATAAGTTGCAGGATGGTGTGCCTGAGGCCATTGAGTCCCTCCGTCAGGCTGGAATCAAGGTCTGGGTTCTCACAGGGGATAAGCAAGAAACTGCTATATCGATTGGTTTATCATGTCGATTATTAACTCAAGGTATGCATTCAATTATCATAAATGGTTCCTCCGAGATTGAATGCAGGAGCCTTCTAGCTGACGCTAAAGCCAAATTTGGAATCAAGTCGGCTGACCTTGGAAAGCAAGATGTGGAAGATCTGCACAACGGCGATGTTTCAAAATTAAGGTCCTCTAATGGTCAAGCATCTGAAAGTGGAATACAAAACTTCCAGTTGACTGGGGTTATTGCTAATGACAAGTCAGTAAACATCGAGGAATCACCAAATTTTGATGATGCTGAGTTAGCACTGATAATTGATGGGAACTCCCTTGTGTATATTCTAGAGAAAGATCTTGAATCAGAGGTTTGTGATCATATTCTGTTTATCTATTAATAATAATAATACATATCTTTGTGTTCTGTTTCAATTGGTCAAACATATAGTCAATAGCTTTAGTTCAGCAATATTAGTTGCTATTTTAGTGCACACACCATGGCTGCACATGTAACTAATACAAGTTGACGTACAAAAATACCGGTCATACTTAAGCAATAATTTCATATTTGCCAACTTTCTGTTTGACAGTTATTTGACTTGGCAACCTCCTGTAAAGTTGTCATCTGCTGCCGTGTTGCTCCTCTGCAAAAGGCTGGAATCGTCGATCTGATTAAAAGCAGGACGAGTGACATGACCTTGGCAATCGGTGATGGTGAGATTCTGTATCCGATTCATGTTGCTATGTTGTTAGTGAGCATATTTTTTATCTTAGTCTTCTGTATCAATTGGCTTGTCCAATGGTAAAATATGTAGTGCAAATTACTAGTGATGATAACTTGCTTGAACTAGAATGCCAACTTTTTGGTGATTTGTTTCTTTTTAGTTTTCCTCCTATAGTTGAACCACATCATGAGTGTTGGTGCTAAAAGTATTTTATTTTATTACATCACCAGCTGAATGATAGTGCGAATACCGGTAACACATGGTTGCACCTACGTTTTGTATCTTAGGTGTTTGAATGTTTTTTTTTTGTTGTTGTATCCTGGCCATCATCTCGTGCATTGCATATCTGTAAAGAGTGCAATTCAGCTATACACTGGTAAGAGTTTATACGGATTTATACAATAACAAACACCCAGTCAGCTTAACCCGACAATTAGTACAGAGCCACAAATCATTTCTGTCAGTTGCAATTGAGATAAAATAATACGATACTCTAGGTTGATGCCAATTTCTGTTTTCGCTGTACATCAAACTAGTCAATTTTTTTTGTCACCTTGGAGACACGCTAACTGTTTCCTACTATTTGGCCTCTGCTCACGTTCATATTGACAGTTTGGTTTTTCTAATCTTGTTTTCTATTTGCAGGGGCAAATGATGTTTCAATGATACAGATGGCTGATGTTGGTGTTGGTATATGTGGTCAAGAAGGTCGTCAAGCGGTGATGGCTTCAGATTTTGCTATGGGGCAGTTCCGCTTTTTGAAGAGATTGCTTCTTGTACATGGGCACTGGAATTATCAACGTATGGCATACATGATTCTCTACAACTTCTATCGGAATGCTGTCTTTGTGCTAATGCTCTTCTGGTACATATCCCCTCCTCTATGCTTTTCTCCTATGCTGTAAGCTAAGTATACCTGTGTCATCTAGTGACTATTCAAATGTAAGAATATACAGAAGCATCATCCTCCTGCCCCTTTTGGCCTTTTTTGGCATCTTGTAATGCAGGTTGATCTAATGTTTTAATGATTTGATGTAGGTATATCTTGCACACTGCATATTCCGCAACGCTTGCGCTAACAGATTGGAGTAGTGTTTTCTATTCCCTTATCTACACATCAGTTCCCACAGTAGTGGTTGGTATTCTAGACAAGGACTTGAGTCACAATACTCTTCTTTATTATCCGAGACTATATGAGGCAGGGCTTCGAAATGAGGGCTACAATATGACACTCTTCTGGATCACAATGCTAGATACCTTGTGGCAAAGCCTTGTCCTTTTCTATGTACCTTTCTTCACATACAATATCAGTACGATGGACATATGGAGCATGGGAAGTTTATGGACAATTGCGGTGGTTATACTGGTCAATATTCATCTGGCCATGGACATTCAACGTTGGGTGCTTATAACCCATCTCGCCATATGGGGCTCTATAGCTGCAACGTTTTTGTGCATGGTGTTAATAGATTCTATACCTATATTCCCTAATTACGGGTAAGTTTTCACTGATTTGCTCTCTTGATCCCTCTTATTTATTGTCCAAAGGTGACAAGCCTAAGAATCTTATATTTGGCAGGACACTATACAATATGGCTGCTTCAAGAACTTACTGGCTTAGTGTTTGCCTTATAATAGTCTTGGGGTTGCTTCCTCGGTTTCTTTGCAAAGTAATATATGAGACCTTCTGGCCATCTGATATTCAAATAGCAAGAGAAGCTGAGTTGTTAAAGAAGCTGCCTCAACAGTTGCGATCAAGGCCTGAAAGTGATATCAGCTAACAACAATGGTTTCATGCAGTTAGTTCGTCACCCAGTTTGGGAACTGTGTTGATTCATTTGTTGAGCTGGTCTTTTGTTAAAAAAAGGTGAGTTTTATTCACGACTGCCATATGATTATTATTTAGTTTATTCTACTATCATGTTTTTAGACACACGCAAGAGCACAATTTGCATTACTTAACTGCAGTCAAGTTATGCATTTATGACTTTGTAGTAGATCATAAGAAGCAATCATGAGCTAGCAGTGTTTCTGTAGGATGAGATTGAAAAATCACACGAGCTGCAGTTTCAGCTATTCAGCAACTATTTCCAGTAATTTTTTAGGCACAAACATCCCAGTCTGTGACTTGCATTTTTATACTGTATTTGATATTGTTCTTCCTGTAGCATAGCGTGCAAGTTTTCATTGTGGACTAGTGCTGACCTGCCGGTTCTGCCTGTTGTTTTGTGAAATTACTGCCCTAGATTATACATGAGGACACAAGTTAGCAAGGACAAGAGATTCTGGCTGTAGAAGAGGCTGAAAAATGCACTGAAGCGGCAGTTGCGAAGAACTAACTGTACGGCGAGGCATCAAACAGCTTCATCCTTGGGGGGTGGGGACTAGTGATGAATCAGATGACAAATGTACAGATAAGGGGGGAATGATATATACTCTGTAATTTAAGATAGAGTTGTGTCTAGGAGGAAATAAAGAGGTACATAGATACAGATTCTTTTTGCACTTTGCCAAATCTTTTGTATTACCTGACGATATGTTAACCATTTCCCTTTTCTTCCCCCTCGTTGAGGTTTTAGGTAGCTTAGTGGTGTGTCTGGTTGGAATTTTATGCTTTAAAAGGGTACAGGATAAATTTTCCTAGTGAGATCCAGAACTTCAGAAATTTGAGTCCAACATTGGAAATTTCATTATATCTTTTTTTTGTGGTTTATTGCTGAATTGCCCTGACGAAGAGTGTTTTTTTGTGTGCTTTTGCTTGCCTTGCTGATTATTGGCCCCCTAATCTGTTTTTGACGCAAAGTACTATTTTTGAGGTTTTTGAAGCTGCTTAAGCCACCTGGCTGTCTAGTTCTGAGACCGATGAACACGCTTTGGCTGTGACGGCAAGGTCCTTGACCGTCGAGAGCTCCATCAGTGAAGGAGGAGCCTGCCGGTGGCAAACATCACACGCCTCACAACTCCATCCAAAGTCCAAATCGAAGCCTACGACACCTCAGAGTCAGAGGGCACTAATGCCGAGGGAGGCATTCTAAAATTCGGCCGGTGGGAGCGGAGGAACCAAAACTCTGAAGGCCAACTCCAAGGCGCTGTTCCAAATAGACGCAAAATTGATCTGCCTTTTATTTGTTTTTGTTCGTTTGGATTGATCAGATGGACGCCGCTGTCCGGTTTTGTCTGGCAACCCGTAGGTGCGCCCATCGCGGGCCGACACATTAAAAGAACAAAACAGGGGTTGAAAGTGCATTTCATATGTTAAATAAAAATAAAAATAAAGACATTAAAATAAAACATCTGTTGGGTCGGCGGATCTAGGCGTTCGTGCATCTAGGCGGCGGCGTCCTTATTGGTGAGGTCGGCGTACGCTGGTGCCTGCGCCTAGGGGAACGTCTACTGGAAGGCTGCAAGCTCCGTCGTCTGCCGCTCGGACTGCAACCGGCACTCCACCTCCTCCCACTCGGCCGCCAACGCCCGCGACTCAGCCTCGTACAAATGTCGCTCGCCCTCGTCGCTCGGGCCAACCACACAAGAGCGCACGACATGGACACCGGCACCGCGCTCGCAATGACCATGTTTGCCCCACCAATAGCCTCCACTCCAGAGAATAGCCCGCATAAGCAGGCTCGGGTGCAGGGCAGTGCTGGTGGCGGTGGGGGTGCCTTGGCCTCCATGCCGGCTGCCGGCTCCGTCAGTGCCTGCACAAGGCCAGACCACCTGGCAGTTCCTTACGCTCGGACTTCGCAAGCGCCCATGTGGCGTCCTCGAGGGTCGCGATGTAGGCGTCCTGCTACTCCTGGTCCTTCACCATCATCGACGGTGGTGGAGTGATGGCCGCACCCCCGAAGCTCCCCCGACGCGCACGTCGTGCTCGGTGGCGTACCACGCGTCCCAATACGTCAAATCCGTCGCGTAGCCAGGGTGGCGGTATAGCTCCGGCAGGAGGTTAGCACGGCGGTTGCGAATCTCGGCCGCCCCCGCGCGGTCAGACTGCGGCACCGCCAGCATGGAACCCTGTCGTCGGCGTGTTGGGCCGTGGTTTTTGGCCGTGCGTACCCAAATGGACACAGGCAGACCAAATGGGTCGGCGTGTTGGAGTTGGCCTAACCCTCGCATGTCAGCCGCCTCTCTCATCTGAGACCCTAACCTCCAATGGGTATAAAAGCATTTACAACTAGACTTAGCAAATCGCATCCCCTAACAGTGTGTGGACACCCCCGGTCAGTGTCATGTGTATGCAGACATGCTCCTTATTTTGTTTTTTATATGTCCGCTCATTTATATGTGATTTTTCTGTTAAAAAAATTGCGTATGATTGATGAAGATGAAGAGACAAAAAAAATAAAGAAAAGAGAAAAGGGGTCCGGGGTGGGCCACATCCTACATCACGGACCGACATCCAGATGCGTCCGCGAGCCCTTATATCCTCTCTATATTTACATTTGTTTCAGCGCGCGAGACTTGTATCCTTCCTATATTTACATTTTATTTCAATATGAGGGTTTAGGAACAGAACAGATAATACAAGGGGTTCGTCATTTTTTTCCAACCGGGCACGTCCAGGAGGCCGCTGTAGATGCTCTAACTGTCTGTACATGAAATGCTCGTGGATGCGGCAGCCCAGCTTAGCCTAGAATATCAGTGAAATGGAGGTAAAAAGGAAAAAAGGAAAGAGAAAACATCCAGGAAAATGTATAAAAATTCTGAAACGAAAGCATTAGATTCTATGCGTTGACCTGCACGGAATGTTTCAATTAGACCTTCCACAAATCATAATACCGCCTCCGCCTTGATTTATTGGTCCTCTTTTCATTTAATGCTAAATTTTGATCTTATATTTAACTAACAAAATGCTAATGCATGTAATAAAAAATAATATCACTAGAAACTATGTTCAAATACAAATCCAACAATATAACTTTTGATGACATATTATTCTCTTAGTTAAATCTATGGTCAAAGTCTGGCACAAAAGACTAAGGAGACAAATAAACCAGGACGAAGGTAGTAGTAGCTTAATAAATATCTTCAAGGCCAAAAACAAGAAGGCAAAATCATCAACATATATGATTATATAGTTGCTAGTTCATTCTATAAGCGTACATATGATAAATACACAAGGAACTGCCGCAACACCATTTCGATCCATGCAGAACGGGAGCGATGCAGTCAAGCGTTTGACAGGGTAGGCTTCTACCAATCTACTGTACAAGTCTACACGCCAACCACAACAACTGCAGTAAGCCACACTCCATGCTCTCAAACTCTAGTATATTTCGCCAACTTCTTTGTATCGGGTAGTCATCATTGGACGGGTAAAATCATGTGGAAGTCAAATCCTTCAACACAAAGTCACCACCTACACATTGGAATCGCACGCAAGCTTCAGCAGATGTCAGCTATCCATGAATCCAGAGGGAAACGGTACGGTACTTCACTGCAATTGGGCACAATGGAATTGGTTAGCATGCTACTCAGGGCCGGGCCGGTAAAATTTGGGGCCCTGTGCTACTACTTCATTGATAACGAGTTAAATAAATGAGTCTCACATTATTCAAAAACTTCACAATGGTCGTCGTGTTTATGCTAAATGTTTTGCAAAAACTGCCTCGACTATGACTCAAACCACAGGAACTGAACTACAACATAATTTTATCTAAAAACTTCCATGCAAAGACAAAAACACAGAAAACTTTTCTCGCAGAAGGGGGAGCAGACAATTGTGAAACAGGTCTGTAGCTCTTTGCTGGAGTAAATAAACATGAAGTTCCATTCTATAGCTGCTCTATAGCAACCCAGGGCTAAGCTGACTGAAGCATGTCAAAGAGGAATGCCTCCCACTATACATATAATGTGGATCTGAGAAAAATGACAAGCAAATGCTAGCTCGCTACGGAATAGCATATTCTCTTAAGTATAAACAAACAGATAGAGGGAGGGTAGAAGAAGAATGTAGATAAAGCATGTGAAGATGATTCGCAAAAAGACAAAAACAAAAAAAGAAGTGAAGATGGGTGTGAGCTCGCTTAGAGTGGAAGGGAAACGTAGCAGAAAGTTTCAAGTCAAAAGCTACAGCTTAGGACCATGAATATTATGAGCCCTAATCCTGACCTAGAGTCAACTAATCCAAATTCACTATGCTATGTACTAACTTGTTATCCAACCATATTTGAGAGGCAGTTGCCTCCGGCGCTCAAAGTCAAAAGTGCTATCTGCATGCTTGGATAACACAAGATTACATTCCATAGTATTCCACAAGGAGTACAGCTGCACTAAGTCAATAACTTCTCATGCACGTTTATCCTCAGTAAACACATGCATGTTCACAATATCTCCTGTTCCTTTAACAGCACTGCCTACAAGAGAGAGTCCTTCCTCGTCAGCCTCATCACCTGTCTCCTCTGAATATGCAAATCTGTACACAGCAAGAAGGTCACAAAAAAACAAAGTTAAATCTGTGCACATGGTTCATACTAACAACTCTATGCGAAACAAGTCATTCTTTCAACCGTACCTAAGCTAAGCTATAGGTATAAGGGTTTTTACAGACAATGTGATCAACTAATGTTAAATAGTGAACATGTTGAAGGAACTGTAAATACATTCGTTTTAGAAGTCATAACGTGAGTTAGAATATACTCCCTCCGTTCCTAAATATAAGTTTTTTTAGAGTTTTCAATAAGGACTACATACGGATTATGTAGACATATTTTAGAGTATAGATTCACTCATTTTGCTCCATACGTAGTCCCCATTGGAATATCTAAAAAGACTTGTATTTAGGAACGGAGGGAGTATATAACAGTGGTGACCAATATCGTGGAAAATGGAGTAATAGTTTTAGAAATGCACTGATTGTATTGTTGGATAAGTATGGCACATGTTTGTAATAACATATGTATAGAAGAAAAAACAGGGTTAAATCATCTCTTCAGAATATCGTGGAAGTGTTGATGGTTACAACATATCAGCCGGGCATAAATAAAAACCTTCCACAATAATGTTCTTGACAGCTTAGTCAACAATATGAACTGTCTCAAAAAGAGACAAATCCAGGACTGAGTTAGAACATAACAGATATGAACCTTGCACAATAATGTTATTGACAGCTTAGTCAACATAGTGACAGTTAGAGACTTAAATAGTGCTCAAGCTGAATGAACTACATTGTGTACATGCAAACCCAAATGAACAATTATACTCAAATGAGAAGACGGTGAACTTCATAGCAGAGGGAATACCCTGTTGGATTACGAGATGGTGACCAAAGGGCGCATATGATGGCAAGAAGGACATATGAGAGGACATTCCAGAAGGCAGGGATGACCCAAGCCCTTCGCCAAAGCTCACTCAATGGATCGGTTGCATTGAAATATAGCTGATTCAAAACCAAACAAATAAGTCAAATCATACTTAGAAACAGAACCTGCATAAAGGTGATCACTCATTCCCAAGAGGCAAACAACTCCATGAGTCAATATCATATAGGAGGCGGACAAGGGAAAAAAAGTTGATTTGGCATTTGCTTCTATGTTCTCCAACAATTTGCATGAAATAATTGATGTTTAGTGATCGTATGACAAGTCTGCATGCTAAGAGTTTATTCATTTTCCATTTGTGGCTACTTTCCCAAATTGCAACGATAGAATCCTAACACATACCTCATAGCCAATCCAAGCAATTGAGATAACCACTGACATAGCTAGAGAATTTGTAAACTTCCGATACAATTCAAGTTTCGCCATGCTTCTCCGCAGCTGTCATGTAATCAGAGAAAGGTTAGTACATAAACTATATGATAAAAGGATATTAAATGAAAGAATAGACAATAAATTAATCGACTTGTTTTTAGGCAGTATAGGTATCAGAGCAGAGCAACCAACTTTATCCTGGACCCAAACAAGTTGGGTGATAAACCCAATTTTTTGGAGTGGCATGTTCACCTCATGTGAACTCAATAACATGCAACACAGATACTGATTGTTGAAAGACATGGCCACAGTGGAGCATAAGTTGGATGCTTAGCATAAGATACAACTAGCTACAGCTTTTGCTAGAATGTAAACAGCTGTAGCACGAGCCCTTGTATCGCCATTCAGAAATACCAAAAAAAATGCTATGTTGATGTACGGAAAAAACACAGTTTAGAGAAGCATGCTTCATAATAATAGCATGGTGGACCCATCCAACTAGAACATATTTTTTACTTAGACTAGCAAGAAAGTGAGGCAGCTACCTGCAGTTTCTCTAGAGTTCTAGAGAGGGATGAAAATATCCAGATGATGAAGGTAGCATCAAGTATGGCAACAGGTAACACTAGAAATAATCTCGTTTTGCCAGAGAAGTCATTGATGTTTCCCAGATTTTCAACAAGTTCAAGGGCTTCTGAGGCAGTAAAATAGATGATAGCAAGAGCAGCAACTCTGTATGTAATCCCACCCAATGTGGGTCGAACAACACCATAGCCCATTGAAACTACTAAAAGAAGAACGCGAGACACGGTCTTCTTCACAGCAGTAAATGTAACCGCCCACAAGGTTATGCCCATAGGTCTGGTCCCAGTTGAATTGAAGTTAGCATACTCAAAGTACCAGAAAGCCATTTCGCACATACCAAGTGCAATAACAGCTGTTATATGGTAATGCAGCTGCAAAATATCCTTCCAACATCTCACAAACTGAAGAAACCATAGAAGCCCAAGTGCAAGATACGCAAGTGACATGAAACCAAAAAATGTCATCATCGGGGCCATTTTTCCAGGGATATAACCATGAGGATTCCGCCAAACTGTCCTGCCTGTAATCTTCAATCCCCGGAGTTGAGGATCACAGAACATAAAGTAGAGATAGTACATCCCTGTTTTGTTTATAGAGACGCTCTGTGTTCCCATGGTAGTTTCTTCGTTTTTACCATCAAAGAATGTCTGAATTCTTTTTGGCCAGTCTGGATTATCAGGATTTGGCCGTATAATAACTTCACCTACTTTACAGGACTTCTCCTTGTCAAGCTCAGGCGTGCAGCATATTGCATCAGAGTGCAAGTAAGAACCCCCGATTTTGTCTCTGTCCTGGATCTCAACAATAATAGCCTCTACTAATCCTGTCTTTTGCTGCATTTCTTCATGTCTAGCTGCTGACTCCTGGGACCGTCGAAATGTAACAATGTCAAACCTGAAAGAGTAGTCCCATTTAGATAGCAGAAAATTCAATAATAACTGAAGGATATCTGCCCTTGATATTCGTATTTCCATAATTTATTTGCGTTTGTTTATTCATCTATGCATTTTAACAACACAAAGGATTGTGAAACAAATGCTTCATGA